TCGGGCAGGAAGGTAAAGGACTAACTCTGTTTCCAGAGAAGCTGTACAGCACTTGCTGCATCGTCTCAGAGAGGCAGGGATGGCCAGGGGCCCATGGCTCTCCTCCCCCGTGTCCATTACCTGTGCTCCTCACCCTGCGTGCAGCAGACAGTGCTCCAGCGCTGACATCACACACAGCACAAAATGGAGGCCTGCAGAACAAGCACCGCTTTAACCTCCCCCTGCAAGCGCCTTCCTACTGCCCTTTCAACCCTCAGCAAGCAATGGCTCCTAAATCAAGCCTCTCTCTTTTCTCCCATCCTTATCTCTGTGCAAGTGAGAATGAAACATTTTATTAAAGCACTTACTGGATTATGGTGCTGAGCCTCTGCTTTGCTGCCTTTTCCTTTTCCAGTGGAGCCAGCAACACTGCTGGAAGGAAGCAACCTGCTTCCTAGAAGGGAACCAAGCACAGAACAATACAAAAATAATCAAGAGGGTATCCCAGGAGCTGCACACATAGCTGGTTTCACTCCAAATTGGTTTTCACAGATCTGTGGCTCATCCACAGGTAAGAGTGAAAGGAATGTACCTATGCCCAAATTGACTAGTGTTACCCTCACCTGTTTTTCATTCCAACTCAAAACATGAGGAAAGTGACTGCTTTCATTTCATTAAAAAATAGTCATCAGTCACTGGTTCTAGACAATCTGAATGCCTTATTCTCAAGGATACACATTTGTGAAGCAGACTCTAATCTTAAGCTCTCACAGTGTTTCTCTTCCTTCTTCTGACCCCTCCCTTGAGATTCCCACATCTGACCTCAAGGTTTAAGGAATTTGCCTCTCATCACATATCAACATCATGGCAAAACCAAGGATTAAATGCTTGCAAAATTCACAAATTAAAGGCATTCTTCCGCTTTCTGTAACCAGCTTATATTCACCATACACATTTCTCCAAAAAATGAGTAAGATGTCTAACATAACAGCCTTCTTAAACCATTCTACATTTACTCTTAGATGATCCTCCATTCTATCCATTCTATGGTTAAAATTACTAAATAAGGTAATTTCCAACCAGTACAGTTTGTGGGAGTTTATGCATAACTGCATCACAACATAAATCTGTATTATAAAATATTAAATCTTTTCTTTAAATCAGAGGAAAATGGAAAGAGTTTGAATTAAGGAGTTTAGTGTGGAACGTGCTAAGGGGTAGAATGGGCAGATGAATACCTCTGATGGCATATCTAACCACCATTCAATCAGGAAAGTGAAGAAAGTTAACAAGGGCTTCCTGCAGTAAGATGGTAAACTCAGATGCTTTTCCCAGGAACACTTGTTTGTTTGTTGGTTTTTTTTTTTTTTTTTTGGCTTATATATGATTTCACCAGTATTTTCAAGGAAACAGATAAGAAGCAACTATTGTTTCATCATTTTTTCCAAGGTAGATTATCCCCTTTCCCAGTGCCATTATGTAATTTAACACTGAGATTTAAAAACAAAACTAGTGAATCACTGCCAAATGCTGCTAAACTGTGGTTTTAAACAACACGAATTTACAGTATGAGAGTTCTTCTCTATTTTGTATATATCCCAGTTCCACTATGCTAAAATTTAATAATGATATATGTTTTTTGTAGGAAGTGACTAACAGGCCAAGTAACTAAATAAAAATATACCTAACACAACTGGTAATGTCTAAGTGTTAAGGAGAGTTATAGCTGAATTTTTATCCTGCCCTTGAGGCTAAGGAGAAAGTCACCTCTGCCTCATGTGACATGCACTGGCACATGAGATATGCTGGTACTTTAAAGCCAACTCAGAAAATATTTTGGCATAGGCAGTTCTCTGTGTCATGATCTGGGAACATAATGACCACAGACTGCTGACATTTTTTTTCCCTGTAACTTTGCTCTCTCAATCTGAAAGGCAAATTGGAGAAGCCAAGAATGTGTACATGGGTCAGGAATGCTGGATTTATTCATTGTAGGATCTAGACTCACAGTGGGCTTGTCTTAGGTTTCTCCATTTAAAAAAAAATCAGTTTGGTCTGACTTTACACAGTGCATTAACTGTGGCTGAATACTTACTGGATAACTCAATAAAGGGCAAAAGTAAACCACCAGAATACTGCTCTCTGTCCCCACGGTTGTAAAACCTAAAAATTACATTGAACATTACACTGCATTCTATGTAACAATTATTCTCAGTGATACACATTAATGACTTGTATACTGTAAGATAGTAAAGAGCAGACAGAGAAACTATGTGTGAAGAGCAGAAGAGGCCAATGGTAAGCATCCCTGCCTCCAGCATCCACAACGAAAGAGGAATATCTGACGATATCTCTGCAGAATATCTGACAGCATCTCATCTTCAGTGCTGTTGCTAAGATACGGACAATTTTATGCAGGGATCTATCTGATGGCCACTCTTGATATCTCATATATGGCAGCTGTGGGGAATGAGACCTAACTCTATTCTCAAAGTAAGTTGACTCCACCTTCTCACCTTTGTATTCTTTACAAACAATCCTTTTTCACACAATTCCTATAAAGATTTCATGGTTCATTCCAACCAACTCTCTTCCTTGCCATACACATAGTCCCTAGTATCTCTTACCACCTCAACAGCTTCTATTCCAGTCTTCCAGCAACAAATGTTAAATGTTTAGCCTTTCACAGTTTCTAATGACTTCCCAAACTCAAAAGCCTAGTCTTTTCCATCATACTTTCCCAAAATCTTACACAGCCTCATTCTCAGAAACCGACTGAAACTGATTTAGACTTTCCCTAATTTTAGCTTAAGGCTGATGCTCAACAAGAAGTGCTTCAATCCAAACCAGTTAATTTTAACAGAAGTGAAATGCAACTGCAAACAGGCTCTGAGATCAGGGCAGGTGATCCAGCTCCACAGCAGGAAACACAATAGGTGTCCCTGCTACGGGACTGAAGAGAACTTCTAAGGACTATAATCATCTCTGCACAGTGAATGGATCCAAGCTGAGTTTAATCAACTACGTCAGTTTTAATCAAGTACTAGTCTAAGAGCCCAACCTTGGCAAAAAAGTCTCAGTGCAGGTTAGCTTCCTGACTACCCACCTTCTCAGGAGCATACTGCTTTGTTCAGGAAGCAGTTCCTGTAATCCCATATCCAAACTATCTAGTTTATTCAGAAATGCAACCCTAGCTCTCCACAGAAAAAACATGAACACATTAATTCTTTGCAGTCTACTGTAACTCCTTTTGCAGTATGTACAGCACTATTTATTCTTTCCCAATTAAACTTTGCATGGCAGCTTCTCTCCCCATTTTCCTGGGCTGTCATCTACCCGTCCTTCTAAAATATTAAGTACAGCATACAAAAGATTTGGCTCAACCTCTCATATGCTTCTAGAAGCGTAAGTAGAGGGTTTTTTCTATTTTTCTTTCTTTTTTACCTGGTGAGCTAGAAGTACTGGGTGTGCAGTCACTGTCATCCAGCCACATACTCTGAACCATTGAATCCTGTTTTGGAGGGCCCTTAAGTGAACACGTCAGCTCCTGGAGAGGGCAAAGAAGACGTGTTTTAATAATGCACCTGGTAAAATCAGGGAGGGTAGCCTCTGTTTGTTAGAGATCATACACCCACCCTGTCATTCTCTTCTTCCTCAGATGTTCCATTTTCCCTCAATCCACTACAACAACTGCTTACACTGGATGATGAACGTGAGAGTGGCTGCATCACACAGTATCCTGAAGTCTGACTCCTGAGCATTCTGTGAAATGCAAGCATTCAACATCATCATGCTTATTGTTACACACAGGCTTAACTTCTTGAGGCATAGCTTTATTATGTAGCAGTCAGAAACAGTAAGAATATATTATTCATCCACAGCTAGTTTTTCCACCTAGGAACAGAATTCAGGTGAACTGGCATGCATACCTTAATTTCTAGTTGCTACATCACTTAGGAGAAACACCAATTCTGTCTCCATTCTGGATAACTGTATGAAGGGATAAGTCTGAACGAATTTTTAAGTCACAGACCTAAGTGTAATAAAGTGGAGTGACTCAATCCACCTGCATTTAAGTATTAAATACATCTAGACATTCATTAAAATCAACAGATGCCCTCTTGTGGAGATCAGAGATTTTAAGAGCCTAAATACAGAATGAAGAGGTGTTAAACTGAGTATAAAGAGCAGGTGCAGTCCAGTCTAGGCCACTCATTCCCACAGCCACTCTCAGGCTATCATGTTTTCTCTTATGTGAAATTCCAGGCAGAAGAAAGGGACCATAAAAAGCATACTTATCATGTCACAGGGCTTATAAATTGTTACTGCTGTTTTCCGTACAGGTGTAACAGGAGGAAGCAGGAAAGCAGACACACATTAACCAGTACTACAGAACAGTTAACTAAGAAAGTTTAAGGAAGCAGTGGGGAGGTAGAAACACATTACTGAGATCTGCATTATTGCAGGATGTCTCAGTGTAAAACTATGTAGGATCAAGTGCCAAGCTCTTGCACAGACAAGTCAGAGCCTTCCTCCTGCTCACAGACAGGAACACACCTAGGTCAGGATTCCCATCCTGGTGATTTTCCATGTGCCCAGTTGCCAACAGACTGACTCCTGTAGGTCAGTCCCACTGAAATTTAGCTCCCAACAAAGCCATTCAAAAGGGACATTCAAAGCAAACTGTATTGGATCCCTTTACCACCACTCTATCAAATGGAACAGACACTGAGGTAGCCTGGTGCATGTTTCAGATCTACCAAAGAAGACCCTTAAGGTCAGCTATTCCCAGCTGAGAATTTGGGATCCACTGCTTAGATTCATTCAGGAGATATAATAGGCCATGAGGCTGACATGCTTACATAGCAGAAGGTGCATTGTGCATGTAAGCCCCAAATTTATGGTGAAATACTCATTGTCTGCATAAGAAACCAGCTAGTAAGAGAGAGACAAAGAGCTTAAAAATGTTAAGGAACCAAAAAAAAGTTAAAAGCGGCAAGAAAGATAAGACACCTTTAACATACTAAATATATTTATTCCTTCAGAAACACTGCAAAATGTGGCCAGTCTTGACCTACAAGCAGTTGTGAAACCTAAAGTCCCAGGCATATTACATGCCAGCATGCAACAAGGAGAACAGTAAAGACAGGGCCAATAAAGGCCAAAGATATTTCCTCAAGAGATTAGGAAATATATTTTGGAGGAAATGAATGCCAACATGCTTCTCCCTTAGCAGAGCAAATCAGTAACATGTATCTAAGTGAAATGGGATCTAGATTTCCACGAAGTATCTCCTTCTCAGCACCCTTCCTCAGCAGGTTTCTCCATCCTTGTTCTCTGCACTGCATTTCTTGACCTGTGTCAAGGCACTAGAGACAGAGGTGGAGTTGTGTTCTTCTGCTCTTGCATTCTGCAGGCCAAACTATTCTCACTCATCCGAGGGGAGAGGAAGGGAAGAGAAGGGGTCGCACTAAAGGTGGCCTCCGTTCCCCATCACTAGTAGAGGTTGGTTCAGTGGCTGCTGATTTGGCAATGGGAAGGGCACAGAGCCAAAATGCTCCAACAGGAGCTATCTTCCATCTCCCTCTCACAGAATTCCTGCTTCAGGAACTGCCAGTGGAGCGTCACTTGGTGCCACTCGGTCTCTCCACAGTCCTTGAGGTCCTCTAAGTACGTTCATGCTCCTCTTAGCCAGGACTCTGATTTCACCCCAAAAGTCTTGCCAGTGTCTTCAGTGAGGTACCCAATGACTGAGTAGCATCCGGTCCACTCCTGATTGGCTTGATGTCCCCACTCAGATGTGTCTGAGGAGGGAAAACACACATACAAAAAACCCATGTACTTTTCCTAGGATACGGACATACACAGTACAGTGCTTGATTTTTCAGATGCAACCCAGAGAGTCGTCTGATCCTCAAGAGTTCTACTTATTGGTTATATAGGCTGGGTTCATTCTTTTGAGTCTGTCCCTTGAGAAGAAGGGTTATTTGGAAGGCTACCTGGACAGTAAAGCAGAAAAACTAAGGACAATTGTCCCTGTATGTGGGAGAGAAGACACCGTTAGCTCAAGTGAACAATGCAGTTTCATGGATTGCTGGCTGATCACTGTATAAACATCTGTTAAACTCAGCAGCGTGCTGCTTTGCTTCTACTGTAAAATAATTAATCTATTACTTATGTGTTCTCTTTGCATGTATTTCCAGGTTGCTTTTACTAGAAGACAGGTGAAGAGGTCGATCATTCCAAGTTTTGAATCTGAAATGATTATGTAAGACCAGTAGCATCACGCTGGACATGTCTGAGGTAACAGAAATTTCTTGTGACTCTATAGAGAGACCAGGAGTGGACTGATGACATATTACCAGGGATAGCCCATTCTGTTACCTAATAAGGACTACTTAAATTATTCTAGAAAGAGGCAGAACTCTTTTGCATTGGAAGTATGCCTACATTTTGATCCTGGTTTCACAGCTGATGAACAACAGGTAGGCTATTTCAGCAGAACACCAGTAAACTGTCTCCAAGACAGACTTTACACTCCCAGCCTTCTCCTGCAATATTGTGCTAACACTGTTTTGCTGAAAATGATGTGCTTTACATGGTGGAATTACATGTTTTTAATTCCCTCTCCCCGATGTCATGCAAAAAGTATGGCAGCACATGGGCTAGTCCCTAACTCTGAGATCACAACTCTAACTCTGACTAATCACTAATTGTGCAAAACTCCATGCTGCATCCCACCTTGTAAATGAACTGTCCAGAAATGAGCTACACCACCACAGATATGAAAACACTTCTTTTTTTCTGGTGATCCTAAGTGGTTTTGAGTCCATGACTGGAAAAAGAATCATGGGAACAGAACTAGACAGGCTGACAAATCATACAGGTCATGCCTAATGTGCATAAACAATATTCATGCAAGTATTGTTAGTAAAATCCCATGCTATGTTTGCTCTCTGAAAGCATGTGGATACCAACTTGAAACAGCCATTGCAGCTGGCTCACCTCCTCAGCTGATGGAGAATGGGGGTAGGGAAGTGGGGGAAGCAGAATTCTTGGTGATTATGCAAGGTAATCAGCTATCTAATCAGAGCAAGAGTTCCTCACACATGCCTGTCAGGAACTTCTAGTTCACTAACAAGGCCTCAGGCAGGATGAGGAAGGGAAGGTGGAATGATGTGGTAATGCTGGAAGATGGGGGGTGCTGACTAATCAGCAGCTCCATGTCCTGCATTCTCTCTAGTCCTTAGCTGCCAGAGCTAGCGCCTTAAATGGTCTGTATCTCCTAGATATGCTCCCATCCTCCTCCACACCAAAATTCTGGGCACTCATCCAACCCAAAAACTAGAACACACACAAAAACTAGAACACTGCACCGTGGCTGTGACAAAATTCTGAGCAGTCTTACAGCACACAACTTGGTCTCTGAACTAGATAGTCACCAGCTTTTAATTCTTAGGGAGCATTGGGTGTAGTTGGAAGGGCGATCCCTCCTTGTCAAATTTGGCACCTGAAGCAACTATAACCATAGATGGCTGGTCCTAGGGCACCTACTGAAATTTTTTTAAGAATCTCCACAATCCTGAGAAAGAGAAATGCCCTAATACAAAGTACTTGCTACCTTTCTTGCCACAGGTCTCATCCAAGCTCTCTTGAAAAAAATTAGGTGTGGTATAATGTTCCAGAAAGTCAGCTGCAGCCTTTGATTTAAAGACAGACTGTTCTGGGGTCTTGGAAATGTAAATGGCTGGTTTCCCTGAAGTGTTCTAGGTAGGATCACATCCCAGTATAATACAGCTTAGCAGCAGCAAAGCTTCACTACCAGGAAATTGCATTTTTCCAGTTTTTGACAACCAGAAACTGGAGAATTAACTTGCAGACTACTGCATGAAGTGTTTTGCACATACCACTGGGTGTGGTATGGCATGCTTTAGCAATGAAACATAGGTGCAACACATGGGACCGTGCTGGAATCCTGCTGTAACATTTTGGGGAGACTGGAGACAGGTTAGTTCACGCTGGTTGGGAGCAGCGGCATGAATCCTGCTTAAAGGGGCAGAACTTGAGTACAACCCAATATCCCAACATACCCTTGTCCAAGCTTCTCCATGAAGCTCCAAAATCACTCCAGAGCAAACTATAGAGGAAACATACATATGAGTAAACATGGATAATTGGACAGCTAGGATTTTGTGTATCCTGTTGGATGCAAGCTCACATTACAGTAAAGATATAACCAAAATCAATGGTCCATTCTTTCATCATGGTCTGTTTAAGAAAGCCAAGATTCCTGACAGGCTCTGAATTACTGTGCCACAGCCAGACATCCAACTTTTGAGATGCTACAATGCCTGATGTGGACAATTTCAGTACAGCCTCCAACAGAGCAAGACATGCACCACACTTAAGCCAATACCAGAGACAGTGAGCATCTTTCAGATACTAAAATTTATTTTCAACTCACTTGCTCTTCCTGCTGGGGAACTCTGGAGAGCTGGGACTAGATGAGCCATCAGACTTCAGGTCAAAGAAAGTTCCTGGACTGTCCAACACCCTTTGTATCCTCTCTGTGGTGTCTCTGCTGGGAGAAAAGAGAAACCAACTATACCCTAGGGCCAGAGTTAACTACCATCTATTCTAACACTCCCTTACAAGACACTGTAGAAAGCTGTATCAACTGTATACACGTAAAAGGGAAGCAAACATAGTTGTGCTGAAAAGGGCAGACTCCTTAGATGTGACATGTAACATCTGGAAATGGCCAACTTTAAGCTCCCTTTGAATTGATATAAAGGCCTGAATTAATTTCAGTATTCACCATTATTTTTTTAACTTTGTCCTCTATCCTCCCCATTCCACTGGTCTTAAGAAGCTACAGGATTTAACAGAGAGCGTAAATATGATGGTTACAAAAGTGTTATTGCTACTAGGACTTGTCAAGATACCACTGAAGAAAGTTGTCTATGTGAGTAACTGAAATAAGAGGTAAAGAAAGGAAAACTAAGGGATTTTGGGGGATTTCTTAGGGCTTCAGGGATGGAGCTTGTCACAAAGTTCTTCCTCTGCTCTCTTGGTCTGTTGACCCTACCTGTGCCCCTCACATCAAAGTTTCTGATACCCTCCCTTATGCTAATACAATTGTTTGTGAGACTGGAAATTACCCTGAAAAAAGTAACTCTAAAATTAAAACAACCCTGAAATTCCTACAACAAACTAACAAGGGGGATGGACTGGGTCAGCTCTGTCAGCAAAGCCTGCATATCTTTAAATTACAGCTTCAGGGTGAAGTCACACGTGACACTTTGAGCTCACTGTTCCCAGAAAGAGAGCATGCTCCAGCCTCCTTCATTCTTGCTGAGTGCACTTTCCACCAGTCCTGGAACCCACCAGACTTCTCCACGAGCCAGTTCATGGCAGAACCTGGCAGACAATTAATCCAGTGAAAGAAAGTTCATACTTTTTCTATTTGATTAATGGGCTGAACCAGTTCCATGAAAGGCCCACTAGGGATCTGAGCAATCATCACAAGGAATAGTCAGGATTGGGTAGATGAAGGGGACAGAGGGGAAGTATCACATCTGCTTTCAATAAGAATGAACTGTTAGAGCAGTTGCTAGTGAAACTGCACCTTCAAGAATGACCCAAAAAGCCTTTCAGAAAATACAAACTAAGGCTCCCTGTTCCTCACATCTAAGTTTACAAATAAGCAAAAGGAAAGCTAAATAAGCCAATTAGTTCATCAGATATCTCCAAGCAAAGAGCAGGGGGAAAAAAAGAAAATAAATCCAGGGGTTTTCCCTGTAGTAGGAAAGTTTTACAGATCCTTCAAGGGGATATAAACAGTTGTTGTACACAAAGTAATGGACTGAAGGACACAGCTGCCTAAGGTACAAAAGTATTTAAAGTAGAGAGAAGGTGTGGCTACTGTGATAGCTTAGACTGCTACAGGGCAGTTATCTCTGAAGATTTCATTTTTCTCAAAAGTTCTATTTTTATTCCGATTAGGTCATAGGCACCTCATTAAGAAAGAAGGGAAAATGCAGTAATTTCCTCCTAAAATAACTAGTTTCCACTTTAGAGATGACTTTCCCCCTTTTGCACCCAGTCGTTAAGCTATTTTCTGCAATTCTTGCAACTGGGAAAACTGCACATTAGATGCAGAGCATTCACTTGACTTTTGAGACTCTGTATAAATCTTAAAAAGATGTCTCAGCTAGTGCTGAGGGAAATTTGTAATTTAAGTAAATAATTTCTCGTGACCAGTAGACAACTTTTGAATGGTTTTAATTCTGTCAAACATGCCAAATCACTCCTTGAAGCAGTATATTATCCATTAATTGTAATTATTTCTCAGATGATCTAACTTAAACACTAGTCATTTGGACTTGAAGCTTTTTTAAATAAATCCTGTAAGTTAGCAGAAGTTTTGCCTATTTGAATATTTTAACATGAAAACAAACAATCAAGCATCCCCTTCCCAAATACCAGCCTTTCATCTGACTCTATTCTGAAAGTAGTGAGTGAAGAACAGGAAACTCAAGAGTGCTGGATAATACTGCACAATATTCAAGTGATCTTACAATGTTCCTCCACCCATTTCCTCCATTCTTACTCAAATATTGATTCTCTCAAATTCCAAACACCCTCTTTTAATTTTGTCTGTTTCTGTTATTTGTCCATTTCTCCACCCGTCAATAATCAGTCCCTTTTCTTCCCATTCCAACCATTTCTGTTTTAGTTCTCATTCTTGATGGTTCCCCCTCTGCCTATATGTGCCTTTCTGTGTTCCTTTTCTCATCTCCTCTTGTTTTTTTTTACCCTCTTTGTCTTGTCTCCCCACAACTCATACCTCTTTTCCTCCTGTATGTTTTCAATGCCAATGGCACTACTCCGTCGCCCGTGGAAGCGGCTGGCTCGAGTACGTGATGGGCTCCTACCAGGCAAGGCAAAAGACTAGAAAAAAGGAAAGCATGACAGAAAAGAGAGGAACGAGACAGGAAAAGCTGTGCAGAGCTGCAAGCACAGGAGAAGAGTTTGCAATGTAGGTCCAGATCCTCTCCTTTACTGCAATACATGAGCTCAGCTCCACCTGTGCAAGGAGTACTTTCTGTCAGCGAGCAAGAGCAGCCAGGGCTTACAAAGGTGGTGTGAGAAAGGGACAGAGTTATAAAGAAAGAAAGGCAGAACACAGCCAGTATACAGAGAACAGGCTTAGGAAGGGAGGTATCCCCATACGGTAAGAGGAGAGGCAGAACCAGAAAGACAAAGAAAACCAGAAGTTGAAGGAGCAAAGGAGGCAGCAAACCCAAGTCATTAGTACGCTGTGACTTCGTTGTATTGACATAAAGAATGCATACAACCAAGTAAACTGTCACCAAGAAATCTTCACACTGAAGGGCACCTTCTTGGCTTACTCAGAGATGGGTTTTTTGGTAGTTTGCCTGTATTGACATCACTAGTGCAGAGACCACAACCATCTGGATGCACTTTGGCCAAGGTAACCATATTTTCAGTATCAGAAACATGGATCCTTTTCTGGAAAGATTTGTGATAGATTTTTAATTCAATAATTATTTGGTCACATATATTTAGTATCCCTATCAAATAAGAAAAGTTTTGATAGTGATTAGAAATATTCATTCTTTTTCTCACCCCAAACTTTATTAATTCTGCTGTTTGTTCCCAACATGCAAATTCTATTTACAGCAAAACAGCACCTTGAATACCTTGTGCACCTGTTTATATTACAGAAAATAGTCTGATTGGTGAAATAGAAGAAAATGAAACAGTTCTAGTGTCCTTATGTTCTCAGGTCTTGCCATATGACAATACAGTACCATTCCAGCCAAACCACAGTGCATGCATTTTGTAACACATGGCACCGTACAGGATCTAATCTAGGATATCAGAGATAGATGTCTGATGTAGAATCATGTTTGACTTTCTTCTCCCAGTCTGCATCAATCTCAGCTCTAGTTTACACATGAACTGGGGCTAGAGATGGGCACAGACAAAACAGACTACAACACATGCTGTCACCACTTGTGAAATGGGCTGATACAACAAAAAGATTCACAGTGGGACAAGAGGACAAACTAACAGGGAAAGGAAATGTATGAGTGGTTACAAAGGTATGCCGGGTTCTCTTCTTACAGCCCACCCGAATACCTTACCGCAGCAATGGCCTTAGGGCCCTCGGCGACACTCTGGCTGAGGGCAAGGCCAGCTGTAGCTGGGCGGCTGGGCAGGGTGGCTGGCTGCTGCTTTCTCATGGATATCCCCATGGTATCCAGGCTCTGGCTGCGGCCTCTGATCACCCGCTGAACAGGAGGGAGGCAGGGAAACAGACAAACACAGATATACACATATAGACATGCACACGGTAGGGTAGTGTGAGAAGCACCACAGATTGAGTGGGAAGTTGTGACAGACTGACACCAGAACCACACAGATCCTAATTCCTAGAAGGCAGCACCTTAGATTGGCTTTAGCTGATTCATGGAGCCCTGGGAAGAGCCCTTCATCAAGTATATTCTCTAGTTTCACTTCCCTTCTCCTACTGCAATGAATAGAGGTTTCCTACCAGTATCCCAGCACACTGGATTAAACAGCATCACCTGGAGCAGTCCTATCCAGTACAGGCTATAAAACACAAAATCACACTCCTGTTCAAGGCTGTAAGGTTCAGTCTCATATGAACTCGAGTTCTGGTTTCAATAGGAAAGCAGCCATATCAAAATCTGCAGCATTTAAAAAAGCCATTTTCTGACTTAACTCAGCCTTTTCCAGCCTTTTACAAATGTCATCTGTGTACATGATGTGCAAATCCCAGCATCTGCCAGAAGTCATAAAAGGACATTTTGGGAGAATTAGTGTAAGATGTGGATAGGTTAAAATTCATGGTTAGCAGCAAAGGCAGTTTGTATGTTAAAAAAAAAAAAAAAACCTCACCAAAGCATCCCAGACCTGACCAAAGCTACACACACAGCTACCAAACCTATTTGTGAACAGGTTAGTTTTACAGACCTTAGTAAGTCTAATTGACCCAACATACAAAGCCATAAAGTCGTCTGAAGAAATGCTATTTATAACACATCTCTCTTTCCAGAGAGAGAACTTTTTATATAAAAGAAGTGGCAAGGCACTTCCCACGTTAAGTGGGAAAGGGCAAGTAGATAGAATAGGAAAGTAGTAAAGATTCTCTCTGTGTAACCAGTTCAAAACTCAGTTTGCCCATTAATACAAAACCTTTGCTTTCTCATATCAATTATCTTTATCACTTCAAAAAGAAAGTTCTGTCACCTGGTTTATTTTAAAAAAAATCAACAATAAAAACCTCTTAACATGCCATCTACACTGAAAAAGGCAAATTAACTTGGGCTTTTAGAGGGTAAGGAAAGCTCCACAGTTTTTCTAGACAGTACACTCAGAGATAAGTTAGAAACTTTTGCAGTGGCTTCTGCAATTCTTTCAGTTATAATGAAAATGAATTGAAAGAGATCTGCTGCCGGAACTGAAAGCCCCTTGCTCCTAGTTATTACAATTCCTCTTGCAAACACTGACTCCTTCTTCTGTAAGTCATAGAATAAAATCATATCTGACACTTGAAACCAGCAGGAAGCATAAAGAGTTTGGCTTCTAAGGGCCAGTATGGAATTCTAGACCACACTGTAGGTTTGTAGAAAGACTCACCTTGAAGTTCTCGAGGAAGCCCCCACTGCCATTCTCTATCTTATCATCCTCCCCTACAGGTAATCCCATCATGCTGCGGCTGCGAAGCTGCAGCTCCTCAAAAAGGCTCTCCAAGAGGGCACTCCGTGTTCTTTCCTGCATCAACATTGGGAATCAGAACAGTTTTTATTGGGACCAGAGAGATTTTTTCCTGTTTTTTCAATGTCTCACATCCTTCTTAAAAAAACCCCAACAAACAAACAACCCCAAAAGACCAACAATGACAACAAAACCCCATGAAAATCACTTTAAACAGTATGAAGTGGTTTTAACTGCATAGTTACAGTATATATTGCAGTAACACCCAGCCCCTTCAAACTCTGTCTAAAGCAAGTCATAAAGGACACTTCTTTACAGCTGATGAAACAGAGACATGGGTTTTTTTCTAGATCAGGCAACAGCAGAGTCTAGAAGAGAATTTTGGTACCTTAAACCAAAAATCAGTGATATCAGCATGCATCCTCTAGCATAATGCTAAATTTCAGCTAATACAGAATTTCCTCCAGCAAAATATATGCATCATATTCCCATCCTTACTTGAGGATTAGATTTTTGTATTAAAGGGTACCTGTTCATATTCTATCACACCTACTAAGAAATGTGAAGGAAATATCCCATAACTGAGTGTAAAATCACATTTCATCTTCTTAAGCAACACAAAACTAGAAGTCAGAAATTTCACTTTATTTTCTTTATCTGATAATAATATATTTATTATATATATATATATAATTATTATTTTTAATTGAAGCAGCCAGATAACAGACCCACCTCTAATTTAGCAAATTTCTCAGCTCGATAGCAGCTGTACTCAGCGTTGATGAGCTTGACCAGAAGGAATTCACGAAACTCTGCACTCTACAAGACAAGATGAAGAGAAGACTAAACTGGAGATGAAAACACTAGTAAAAATATAACATTATAAAAGCTCTGCTTTCTACTATTTGGACCTCCAAAGTGCTCTAGCCAGACTGATAATACTGACTCAGAACACAAGTGTGTGCACCACGTTCCCTGCCAACTAACACTGGACCAGAGAAACAAACCTTTTTAAATATGGCTGGATTTGGCAGCGGCGGTCCAAAGAAGGGGACATCATCTCGGGCTGTGACTGAAACCTGAAATAATATAAGGGGAAAAAAATGAGTATCAGAACACAAGTGAGACCATCAAACTACTACAATAGATCTGATTCCTCCTAAATAATTTACTTATAAAAAAGAGATGTAATATAGTGTCCTGTGCATCCCTCTGTTCCTGAACTCAGTGGGGATGGATGTGCTCATTTATCTCTCAGAAACTCAGCCAGCTAGATGTGCACACAGCAAGAGCAATAAAAAAAGCCAAACTGACTGCTTTTTAAAAAATATTTTAAATAATAACTAGTATAACCAGTATATTTAGGAACAAAAAAATGCTCCTATTCAGCCCACAAGACTAACCTCCACTAAAGAACCTCTGTCAGTGTGGTTGTACTGACCTGGGTTTTTTTTACAGAGAATCCTTGGGGAGACACGCGGGGGAATATCTCAGTGCCACTGCCTCTGGGAGTCACAGGTGGTAAACACACAAATGCATTTTCCCAGTAAGAGACAGGTTTCATTTGTTGTATTTTTAGCATGCTCCTACCTGACATACCAATGTCTAAAGAAGTAACTGTAATGTAGCCCAGTTTTTACACGGTCACTTGTTTCTTCACAGCACTTACCAATAATTATATGTAGCTATCTTACCAAATACATACAGTACTTCACAATATTTCACAAGAGTTTTTTTTGTCATGTTTGAGATGAAACAAGACCATTATTTGTTCTTTCACACAAGAGGGAACAATGGCATAACAACCACAACTGCCTCAAAACAACAAATAAATATCACAGAGCCACTGAGAGGTGTGAGTTTAATGAGAGGAAGAAGGAAATGGGCTCTTGATTAAATTCAGATTTCTCACATTTTAGGGCATCTCCACTAATTACAAAGTCTCCATCTCTCTCCTAATAGATATCTACCAGTTAAAATCCTGCTTTGCATTTTTAGTTTTCTGATTGCAAAAATTGATTCTGTGAAATAAATTCCATTAATACTCCACTTTAACAGGAGGCACTAAAGCTTAAGTAAATGGAACAAGGGATGGCAAAGAAATCTTTCAAATGGCAGTCTTTTGTGTACTACAGTGCTCTCAAGGCAGCATCAGTTAAAGCCCCTTTAGAACTAAAGCCTTTACAGAAAACTCTGCATTGGCTCTAGGGTGATTACTGGGATGATTTCTTCTTCATGGAATGAAGCAGCCCTATTACACTAACAACAACAACAACAAAAAGGTACTGCAGACAGGCAAAGATGAAAACAATGGCAGGAAGATACACAACAAATAGCAAGTTTTCCCAGCTCTTTCCTTGTCATTAAAAAGTCCAGTGAATTTTTGTGGCCTACAAAACAGAGCAAGAGGACAATTGGAACCCCAGCTGGTTTCTAGTGAAAGCCTTGCTGCCCAAAGCATAGGGAACAAGAGAAGGTGGTAGCTCCACCACCAACACCTCTTGGTGGAAGAGGAGATGGGAATACTGTCCTAATTATGATATTCTTGGTGTTCCTGTAGACCTCCTAGGCATAAGGACTCATCATTACCATATCAAAATCCCTACATGATACAACACATGGCATTTGAGATTAAAATGTTTCTACAATGGAGAATCCATCACAAATTCAAGTTTCTTTGTATTTTCTGCTCTCTCAGCGTCACTGAAAGTTGAACATAAAGTTATACAGATATCCATACAGTGTGAGAGAGAATGAGCTGTGTCCAAAGGCCGCAGATAATTAATCTGGGCTCTAGCAGGGCTTCTTTCAGCTGGAAGGCCCTAACAGGTAGCACATCTCTGCCAGATGGGCACCAGCTCTGGAATCCCCAAAAGCAGGTGTAGCTGGCTTGGATTCCATAGTTAGGTCAAGCAGCTATATCTGACCTGCAGCCTCAAGCAGTGCAAGCTGCAAGCACTGTGCTGTGCAGCACGAGCAATGCAGACATGAATTTTACCAGAGTGACACAATGTAAGCGAAACAACCGCCAAAGTGCGATCAACTGTGGCTCGTCCTCTGCAATGTAAACAAAATTTTTTACCTGAATTCTTTCTGCTTCAATTCCAAAGCTTTAAGCTTCAGAAATTAACCAGCTACTTAGAAAAGCATACAACTTAACTCAGCTTTCAGGAGTAGATACTCAAGAAATCAGGATGACATCTGGCTGAATCTGCACCTCTCCCAAAGGCCCAAGAACCCATTTCCACTTCAAGGATCAAAATCTATACAGGTTAATCTATTGATCCTGGTTACCTTGTAGAGAGTGTCCCCAGTGGTGCTATGAGTGAGCTGAACTACCACGTAAGCATGTAGAAAATTGGAAGCAATCATATCAGGGACAAAAGGCGTGCTTTCATCCTGGAAAATGATGGCTACAATATCATTCCCAATGTGACGCTTCCGTTGAAGCTGGAGAGGAAAGAAATAATGAAGAGAGAAGGCAGGTGAAAAAGAGTAGAACAGTGTGATGGGACTCAAACACCAATGTGCCTAACATCTCAAACCCATCTGTTCACCAAACCCCTCATCACTACTTTTGCCATTATTCCAGCTGTAATTCCCAACATTACAGAGTTCATCATTGTCCCCTCTATGCAGTCCTTCAAATACCCCTCTTCTCCCAGCCACACTGTTGTAACCCTTACTCCTCCTTCTGATACCTGCTGGGAATCTCCCTCTGTGAAGGGCAGCTTTGTGGACACATGAAACATGATCTCCTTCCCCCGGAAATTTGTATAGACTGACTCGGTGCCTGTTTGACCTCTGGTAACATCCAAGCCTCCCCGGAACCTGAGCAAATCCACACCACGCCACAGATCAGGCAGTACAGGAATGAGAGAGCAGAGAGAAGACAGACAGTATCAGTAACACTACTACATCAGGACTATCAAAGGTGATTTTTAGGAAATCAATGATAGTGAGGCACCAAGTCTTCCCCAAACCAATGCAATGACTGAAGCTACACCGTGTCTGTGCTGGTGAACATACCAGCTTGTTAAAAGCCATGAAGTTAAACCAGGGATCCTCAAAGTAGCTACTTTCTTTGACATTCGCCTGAGAAATACACTCTGTATAGAACTACAGAAGGGATGAGATGCCTTACAGAAAGAGCCTGAAACAATACTGCCCCATACCACTATGGAACAAACTTGTATTTGCACTGCCAAGTAAAATTATTCTTTGCTGATGCTGCGGGTCAGATTGAGATATCAGGAGACCTTTAAATGAAAATATCAGCAGAGACCTAAGCTCCAAGTAGCTCCCAGATATGATGGCTGACAAAAGCATTTGGGGCTTCTTCACCTGCACTGGGATTCAGAAGACACAGCACTTCTCTGGAAGCTGGGCTGTAACAGAGTCACAGCCTCTAACACATGATGTTCCCTAACTTAATCTGGCTTTCCAGCTGCCTTGGGTACGCACCCACGGAAATCCTGCAGCTGAATCTTGTCACCAAGGAAATCCAGGAACTCCAGGAAACCCTGACTCTCTACTGTGTTACTGAAGACTTCTTCTTCAGTTGTCTACAGAAGGAAAGCAGAAGTAGTAAGAAGCACAATGAGTACAAAAACAGGCAGTAATTTCTATAGGCAGTCCAACCAACAAACATCTGTGCTTGCATACATTTCTGATCTGAGCCCCTCATGGTGCTGGGGTCCCGTGCCTCAGCCCCAAGCTGCCATGAGTGCTAGTTAGGGGCTAGTGGTGGGTGGCAGAGGCATGCAAAGGGAACCATGGCACTGCACAAACACTGCTGCCTCCATGCCATTGCTTCTGGACAGTGCAGACATTGCTATTACATCCTTTAAGCTAAGAAAACTGACTCTTTTTATTTTGCCCCAAGTACCATGGGATCTGATGGGTCTTACCTGTCCAGGTTTTTGGTAGATGACCCCAAATTTGAAGTTATTGCTTATGACGTGTTCATCAAATGCAACAATAAGCTGCGAGGCCTGAGGTGATGAAAACACAAATTGTCAACTGGATGTCATTATCCAGACCTTGATGGAAAAGTGATATACACACATATCAGAACACTGTACCTTGGGATACAGAACAGGAAAGAAGCGTTCAACATTCACATCCTCACACAGTAGCTGTTGAGTGAGAGAGACAGGGAAACAGAAGTGTGATTATCACGTGCCCTGGCTTGTTGCAGGCATGACAGTATAGGCACCGTATATAATTATCTGACAGGAGCCCCTTCAGGCAAAAATTCTGAGGTAAAATTAGAAGAGAAAGAAGAGAAGGCAAATGGAAGGGTAAAAGGGAACTATATAATAGTTCTACTGGTGAATAGTAGAAAAAGAGGGAAATGGGAGGACAGAGGAGAAAATAACTTGAAGAATGAGGCCTTAAGACAAACAGGCAAGCATGAACCTCACCTTTGCCATCTGAACAGCATTGGGAAACTCATTCAGACAGGAAATGGGAATTAGATCATGTTTGGTGCCAGTACGAGTCCTGACATAGAACAAAAAAGGAATTAGAGACTGATGGCTGAAGGGAGACACAGGCAACACTGGATCTTTAAAGAAAGCGTTGCCATTCCTTCAGAGTATTGTTACAACAGTTAATTCCAGAGGGTTAATTTTAACCATGGTGCATAGAATCACTGGAAAAGCAAGGTATTTTCACTTCTTACTGCCCATCACTTGTTGTGGTGAGCAGAGGCAACAAAACACGAGCCCTTGGTGTCTTTGCTTCTTTGCACTCTTGTCTGCCTTGAATAAGTATTTTGCTTCCTCCCCACACCATTTTCTTTCACAGAAATCCCAATGTCAAAGTACAATTCATGGACACAGAATAATAAAGGATTCCCATGATCAGTGAGGGCTTGAAAGATTGTTAAAAGGTCTGTTAGAAACAGCCTAGAAAAGCAGATCTGTGCAAAGTAAAGGAGGTAGAAACTGGTGTAGCATTGTTCCAGAAAGCTGACAGAGGAAAACTGCCTTCCTCTTTGTATGTGTATTTAAGGAGAAATATCTTTCCAAGGAAGAAGAAATATTGGGCTGTCAAAAGCCTCTTCAAACCATTATAAACAAGCTATTGAACAAAAAGTACTGCATACAATAAAATATCTTAATAGAGGAATAACTACCCTTTTGTTCTTCCCTGGTCTCTTCCACATAGGAAGATAAACATTCCCAGGCACAGTTCACAAAGAGGCTCTCTTTTTATTCCCAGATTACTGCTGGCAGTCTGAAGCATTCTCTGCAGACACTGGAGGAAACCCACCAGTGATTTTTTTGTACCTAATTCCTATCAATAATTTTTTTTCCTTCAGTCCTGGACAAATCCTTGTCAGTGGCAACTGTACATCACTTGGCTCCAGTAGCATTCCCTACTGGGAGTGCACCCAGCCAATAATGTGGTAAAAAGCTTCTCTGCAGTGGCCTCTCACCTACACAAGATCCTTCTCTATTCTTCTTGTAGCTCATCTAGCAGCTCTCTCTAGGTAATGTCTCTCTTCATAACCCTCTCTAAGGGTTATGGCTTCATAGACTGCCCTGGGAATATAGGGAATGTTCTAGATCACCTTCAAGGAAGCCTTAATCTCAAGTACAAAGCCTGGGCTAGGCTGTCCTCCTTTAGGGAATCCATATTCTCCTACAGAGTACTCACATCTCTCTAAGTAGACAGAATAAACAGAAAAACTTTCTATTTGAGGGAAGGACAGGTATTTTCCACACAAGTACTACAAAGATGCACCTGTAAGCACCACATCGTCTTCCTTAAGGAAACTGCTGAGAGCACCTCAAGAGCAGAAGGCTAGAAAAAAAGGCTCAAAGGTCTCTTTGCAGTTTCTTTTCTTTCCAGAAGAAAGACATGACATTCACACCCACATCTATGCAGAGGGAGCACAGGGTAAGACCAGAGACACAGCACAGTAGCATACACTTCAATAACAGGCACTGTTACCTCAGCAACAGGCGTAGGTTTTCCTGTTTCTCGATCTGTTCATACTTCACAGAAAGTACCAGGTAGCCCAAGGACATGTCACTGGAGTAAAAGTTCTGGTGCTCCTGCAAACAGGAAACCAAAATGCATTATCTCCAAAACACTTCCTGGAGAAGCTTTCCAAGTTGTTTTTTTTGCATACAACTTGTCACTCAAGATTAGTTAATTTTTAATTTAACTAAGAGTAGCATGCTTCCAGATGTGTGTATGTGGTCTTCCAGCCCACTTGATCATCACGACCTGAGCGTATCAGCCAAAGTGCATCCAGTCAGTTCAGTTCCTCCTCACCTGTCCAACATCACAAGGGCTCCTGAGAAGGAATAGTATTAGAACATTCAGCAACACGTTTTGAAGAAATTGAGTTTCTTGTAAATAAAATCCTATCTTTCATGGACTTTCCCTGTATCCATTCAGGTTCTGCTTGACTAAGCAGTGTCTTCCAGACATTCAACTGGATGTGGTTGTGGGAATTTTCTGTTTAAAGAGCAATGGCAGGTTTGTGGTAAATGGCTGAACTCCAAGAGTGCTCACATGTCAGGAAGGATACAGTCAGTAAGCAAAGAGGTTTTGCAGATGAAGACTGGTCTCAGCAGTGCCCCTAACACTGCCTGAGCTTTAGTGGAGTGTGCCTGGAACAGTCATGCAGTCAAACAATGAAAGATACTGCAAACATTTTCACAGTCTCTATATGTAAGTGGCTGTGGCCATACCTTTCTCCGGGCTATACAGCCATGTTCCAGTGGCCTACGTATAGCAATGTGTATTTTGTATATTGCTGTATCATACATATTGCTATATAATCTCTAACCTCAAGAGGTTAAAGCCTTTTGACACAGGATGTGAATGGAAGCCTCCATCACAATGAAAATAACATTAATGTGAAATTGTGCAGAAATACCTTGAACACTTCCATCATCCTAGCAGAAAAGCATCCTCATGCATGACACAGAAGTGGGACAGCAAGTTGTATTCAGCTGTACAGTCAAAACTTGCATGATTTGGAATATGTTTTTTGAAAGGAATACTAGAGGCACAATAAATTAGTGAAGAACTCAGTGGGAGCAAAGCGTAATTTGATAAAAAATGGTTGCTGGTCTGTCAGTTCCTTCCTCAGTCTTTTGCCTAGAATATATTGAATATATACATGCCTAGAAGGTCTGCTCTGGCCCTTATGGATTAAAACCTCTCTAAAAACACTGGTAAGATTGTCTTTTGCTGTCTAAATCTTTTGTATAAGTCATAGTTCTGACTCACTGTCAGAAATAAAGATACATGTAGTGAAATATTCTGACACCTATGTGGACACTTGAAGCTAACAAACATAAACCAATCCTCTCTTTGAAACAAAAAATAGGAATAATAAGACTACTTAAACCAAAACTATGGTTTAGTCACTACCCTAAACCATAATGTGAAGATGCAGCTATCTAACTTTTTGAAGTATTAAAGATGTTATTGTCCTCACCTCCTCTTTGAGACAGAAAACACACAACACCCAGAACTGCCCCGATACTGGGCAGAAGGTTCCATGGCTGATCAAACAAGGCAGTCTGAAAAAGGTAAGGTCTAAGAGCAGCCAAGAGACAAACAGAACAATATGGCCTCTAGCTGCAGTGTTCAAATCACAGAAGTGCATTGTGATCTGTCACACTGGTCAGTGACAGTACACGGGGAAAAAAAGCTGAAATCAAAGGAAGCCACAAAGGACAGTTAGTTTCTCCTGACCAGGAGTTTCAGGACACTAATGGATTTTTGGGATGTGAACAAGAATCAGGTGCAGTAAGTCACTGTGACCAAGGGCAGAAAGACAGAGTAGCTGAGGAACAGACAGATTCAAGGAACAAAGCAAGACCATGTTCCAAGGTCAGCTGAAGTCTAGAATCAAAATCTTTAAGCCAGAGAAGTCAAATGCCAGGCTGGATGGCTAAGACAGGCTGTTAAGGGAAAAGATGGCATATTGCAAACAAAAATCAGAACTAGAAGGCAAAGCAAGGAAGAGGAGCCAAAGCCTGAGGTTAGCTGTGGCTAAAAGTAACACTGAGTTGCAAAGACCAGAAATTAAGATGCTTTTTTATGAGACTTCTAAGCCAGACCCCAGCAGATGCAATACAGGGGGATCTCAACTGCTTTGGAGACTGGGCTATCAGCTCTGCAGCTGACATAGCTAGGCAGAGCTGCACAAATGGGTGCAGTCCTCACAGGGGAATGGGTACCAGAATTAGTGGAGATCTTAAAACAACTGAATTTTTGTAAAAGCCACTCTGACTATGTAGCTTGACCCTAAACGTAAGCCTGAGGTTTAAAGTGAGATTTGATCAATCATATGTATGAATAAACCCATAATTTACTCCTTATGATTTTCTTTCTCTGTAAAAACACATAGGCAACATACATCAGACTCACATTCCTTCAGTGGACAGCAACCTTTATTGTTAGCTGTCCTGAAGTTAGAAATGAACCATCAAAAGCTTTTGCAGTTGACACTGAAGATTGCAAGTCAGTGATGACAAGATACCCTGGAGCTAAGATGACCTATGTATTAAGTACAAATTTTTTCAGCCACAGAAGCAGTTTCTGTAACATTTAATGTAGTCTGAAAGGTAGTTCTGGATGTCAAATAGATCTCTCTAAAAACAATTAAGTATCTTCCATGGGCCAAGGGAAAAGACTAACAGAAAACACAAGGAATGCTGACAGTTTGCCTAAAAAGTTATAAAGCTAGTAAGACACCTGCCATGTGCAGCAACTTTAACCAGCACAAAGAAAGGACAGCGTAAAGGAGAAATATATGATTACATATGAATACATAGCAAGAAAGCTCCTCCCTCAGCACTGAGAGCTTCAAGCGCTTGAGAAACTGGACCCTAAGTTTACTTGACTGGCAGTTACAATGTACATCTTTATTAAATCCTTCCTGGTTTCAGGCTATTTCTCTTTATTACAGACTTGAAAAACAACACAGACATAAAATAATTCCCAGTATAAGACATAAGACTTTACAGCCTTTATCCTAAAGGCTGAATAAATCTTACTGTGTAATTGTCATATAAAATACAGATCATGAGGCAAGGAAAAGGAACTGAGCTACGGCTTGAATGTTCTAGCACATTTTTTGGTGGTTGTTTTATAGAGTCTGCTGTAAGATATTCTGTAAAATGTATCACAGAATTGTTCAAGTTTGAGCAATCTACATACACACATCCACAACACAGACATGGACATTAAGTTTGTAGTAGCACATTAAGTTTGTAGTACCACACAATACTTTTACCTCCTGTCTTGCTTAAAGGATATTCTCTAAACCACTGGCTATGCCTCTCCCACCACGTTGTGCTTTCAGACTCTTCTTCAGCTAAGAACTGTTTGCTGTTATTCAAAGCATGAAAGAGACCTTTCTTGTCATTGTTGAAATAACCTTCCCATGTTACCAACAAGGAAAACATCCAACACAGCACCAAAATCACTGGTAACGTTGCACTGAAGAAATACTCTTCTAGTGGAAAAGCTTTGAGCTCTCTCCTTAACTAAGTTTTTAAACGATGAGAGAGTTTTCTAGCTGCGGGTAGAGTTTTCAGTGACACAAGAGTCCTGTTCACCTTGATCTTTTCTGACACTGGCTTGCTCAAAAACTTGCATGTTTAACTGAACATGGACACACATTCATGTCAGTTAAGGCAAAGAATAAAACAATGGACACCAGAAAAGGAAGAATACAGGAGAGACTTCCTCTGTAGTACAGAGGCACTAACGGTTGGACACTTTGCAAATGCAAAGCTCCACAACAGAGGAAGTCCTGGATCTCACTTGGAAGGAACAATGATGACATGGCCTTGCTTGAGCAGTAGTCTGGACAAGATCAGATCCAGAGGCCCCTTCCAACCTCAACTGTTTTGTGATATCAGGTCAGCAGTGAATCCTACAATTGGACTGAAAACATCATGTCCAAATTTGCCTCTCGTCCTGTCTGACTCTGGAAGCCTTCAAGCACAACCCTAAATTTACCGTGACAGAAAAATAATTACAGTTGGCATACTGAAAGCTTCCAGAAGGTTACAGGATAAATGTCCATTAACAGATTGCACAGCAGATCTATTAAGTCTTGAGGGGAAGCCTCCAGGAAAGCTTCCTTTTTTCCCCTAATTATTTACAAATCATATTAATATAATTTTCCAGTGGTGTGGAACAAGATTCACTACAGAAGATCACTCTGACAAGCATAACTACTGCAGAACAGGTCCCCAGCACTGTGCAAAGCACCACCACAACTATTCCTGGTTTTGAACTTATTCAGCAGTCGCTGAGGGAGACCACTGAATAAGATGCCGCGTGAGCATACTTGTCAAGCTTTCTTATCTCCTTATGCCATATACCAAATCTCAGAAAAGATGATGGGTTTTTCTCACTTGTTCTTTATGGATAACATTATCCTGGGATTCAGACAGTTCCCTAAACAGGCCCACCCAGATGGACCTTCATGGCTGGCCAGCAAACATTCACTTTATGAGGCCTAGCTCTGTTTCCCTATGTGTCAAACTGTAATTTTTAAATTCATGGAACATTTAGCACCAAACTTACTTAAATCAACAACTATAAAACACATGGTGTGGTTTCATCATATACATTCTGTAATGACCATACAGTGAGGGAAATGGACTGTTCTGCTTCCTACTGAAGAGCTTGCACTGTCAGTGCTGAAGTCCCCTCTAAAAATAATGCCATTTTCACTTCCAATACTATTACACTTTTGTCCACTTGTTATCCCAAGTATCCACTTGGTATCTGTACAGGAGCATCAAAAGATCTTCTTAACTAAACAAAAGCATTTCCTGTGCAAATCTTCCTATTAATACGCAGCGTGATGCACATTTCACAAGAGGACATGACAAATTTAAAACACTACAGCCCACATCTTAGTATGTGCCTCATTTACATTAGTTCAAGGCATCATAAGGAACTGAAATGCAGCAGCAGTGCAGACATTTTTAAGTCCACCAGAAAAAGCCTAAGAAAAATTTCAGCCTTGTGGCTGGGTGGGCAAAGGCGGCTCTGAAGGTCACCCTTACCTTTCCCAGAAAATGTTTGCGGTACAGCTTGGCTGTAGGGTCACTTTCCAGTTTCACTTTACCACTCCAGGAAAAGGGTACATCAGACAGAGTTGGACTCAAGCTGGAGAGGTTGTGGCTGGTCCCTTCAATCCAGTAGCCCCCAAACTGGGGCAGGATAATGAGAGGATATGGCCACCCTTTCTGTAATACCTATTCAGAAGGACAGAAAGCATTAAAGCTGACAGGTCTGTAAGCTGGAAGGCTAATAAGCTGGAAAACCAACGAAGTCCAAGGACAAACAGGGAGAGGAAAGAGCAGTACTAACTCACCTCATGGATGCTGGGATAAGGAATATACTCCTCTTCTGTCTGAAATCAGAACAGGCCATTAGCAAAAACATGTGACATCTTTTAAAGTGTTATGCTGTCATGACTGTGCAAGCTGCGCCCTCAGCTTCTATTCTGCCCAAGGTCATCCTTAGAGTTTTACTTCAGGACTTAAGGCTAGACTCCATTTCCAAGGTCTCAGCATTATAATAAAGAACACTGAGAACAATAAACTTAGGAGTCAGATTCTACCCACCCTCCTCCTCCAAAGTACAGGGAATATAGGCATGCAAAATGAGAAAGTAGCAAACTAGAGACAAACATGATGTGGTTAGGAGTCCCAGCCTCTCTGCTTTCCTTCCACACAGTGTTAGACTGCTGCTGTCCTTCTGCTGACACGGATAACAGTAGGAATGGTAGAAAAGGTGCTGCTATTTACAGTGAGACTGAGGCTGTGTCACCTCCATGGCTGCTCTGTGGTATGCATCCGAGCAATGCCGAGGTGTGACTCAGAGAATAGAGGCCGTATCTGAGCCAATTTATGGCAGCTGCATGTCCCCTCCATCACCACAAAGAGCACTGACTATCTGTCAGAATAAGGCTGTGTCAATTCTCGATGTGGCTTTTTTACAGGTCATCCCAAGATAAAAGTCAAGGTCAGGTTTGATTTTAAGGTTAGTAGGCCTGAATGGATACTGAAGAAGTGGAGTTTAATACACAACTTGAGGATTTAAAGATAGGAATCTGTTCTTATTGCCTTAATATTGGGCAAAACAAATCAACTTTCTAGTAGCATCTCTATGAGTCATCAAGCAGACTACTGAAATAAATGCTATGTGGTTTCATAAATATTATTACAGCTCTCAAATTGAATAAATTTAAGAAATTACTTAGTCAAAACTAACACTTTTAATAATAACAAACTCTTATTGGAGCCACTTAAATTAGAAAAAAAGAAAAGTTAATTCTATTTCAGCTACATAGTTTCACCCTCTTGTGCAGCAAGTAGGGAAAAAAAGAAAAGAAAAAAGGCAAGCATGTGTTTTTGGGATGTTTGCAGACTCCCTACAAAAGTACACTGCAAGCCAGGTCAGTAATTATCTGTCATTCTCAGCAATTTAGGAGGCAACAACAACTTGGTCTGACCTTGAGAGGAGCTGGAAGGGAACATCTTTGCTCATCCAGACGACTCCCCTGGAAACATAAAGTCACAGACAGTGAATCCTGTATTTCAGCATGTCTGTTTCACTTACCCTCTGTGTCTTTCTCCATATCCTCAATACGCATATTTTGTCCCTCCATAAAATCTACCATTTTAAGCAACTTTGGAAGATTAGAACAAAAAAGAATAGTGAAGCTAGAACTTGGCCAGTCCCCTAACCTGGCATTAAAACTGAAAAGCTACCCTCAAGCTTACATCTCTTAAAAAGCAGACAACTTGCAGATATTAAAAACAACCTCCTAAACTGATTCTCTAATCTTTTCTAGCACCTTCCTTCTTATCCTAAGCAACAAAAAGAAGAAATGGAATGACTACAAGTTGGGTTAGAATAACAGGGCAAAAGGCTACTGGCTGCCTAGTTTCCTCCTCAATCAGGAGCTGGCACCCAGACTTAAATCTCCTCCTTAAGTTTATTCCATCCGCTGTCTTCTCACCACAGCAAAGTAGCTCACTTCCACCACACCTCTGCAGCAGAAGCACACAAGAATAGGACAATTTTAGTGAGGAGAGCCCCAACACAGACTGAGTACAGGCCCAGAGCAGAAGATATGAGGGTCAACAGGCCATTGTCCAAGTGGGCATCACACACAGAAGAGTAAGAAGCAGAATTTGCATGATCAGATAGGAAGGTGAGGACCAGGATTTAAAATGTAGGTTTCTTTTACACACAGTACATGAGTATTCAACTACTGTCACCTAAATCTTGTAACTCTCATGCTGGAACATGATGCCGAAACTACATTTTTATATACCAGCAGTGACTGGCGTGGCTAATCAGGGATTCCAGACAGGATAAGCAGCTCTTGACTTTGTTAAGTGAAAATAAGGACTGGATTTATAACAGCCATGCCTATGCACACATTCTACACTGGAACTAGCCTGTCAACTGATTGTGGTAGAAATAGGTAAATCTCAGAGGAGCTTTACAGTGGACACTTAGGAAGCTCAGGAACAAAAGTTTTGGGCAACGCTCCAGCTGTACAGGGTGCAAAAACTGCTAGCATAGTACCACTAACACTGAGCAACAGCAACCTTACTACTGAGGATTCACAATAATCAGGATGCTCTTTGCAGGAGCAACAAAAGAAAAAAAAGGAAAGAAAAAGACCAACACATCTACTTCACATAAAAACAAGATTTTAGGAAAATGAGAAAGTTTATTAAAAGAACCTATGAAGGAGCCATAAAATAATTTAAACCTTCATGAAATCATGAAGAGCCAGACCTCGAGTACACAACAAATGCTTAACACCTTTAAAATACTCTTAGAAACATCAGAAATAAAACAGTATGACCACACTCCAGGGTAAGGGAGACTAGCAGTAGATGCATGAGGTCATTTTTCAGAAGTCTGAAGTTGAGTTCAATCACAAAAAGTAGCAGTAACAACAAATTTTAATTGGTTAAATATAGGAACACAGTAAAGTGAGTGAGGAACAATGAGCAGATAACAAAAAACCAAATTATTTTCTTTAGCTCTACTAAAAGAAAGAAACGTCACATGTTATCTACAGGGTGACAAAAGATCAAACTACAAAAGCTGAGTTTTAAGACAGTTACACATCTTCCCCATAAAAACTGTTTTCCTTTAGTATTTTCAACAATGGAGACTAAACAAATATCAGCCTGAAAACATTCTTCATAGGAAAACTTTACAATATATGTTTTGAATTGTGCTGTCAGTACACAGCATTGACAAAATGAATAACCAATTACCAGGATGTGGTGAGTTGTGAAATTAAGATGGAACACAGGCTGACAAGTGATCTTTATCTTTTGCAGAAGTAGTTAGTAGAAGTCATTTTGCATTTAGGGAAGTTGTAAAGGTGATAAAGTTGAGTTCATGGAATGTAAGCGCTAAAAAGCGTTTTGTTGATGTGGTCTCCAGTTTTAGTTGTCAACCTGCTGAGCTGAGGTTCACAAGGAAGACCAGGTTCGGAAACAGGGATGTGGAAAAGAGACAGAAAGTCCTGTCACTAACAGAATGTCCTGTGCACTGTCAAAACAGGGCTGAGGCATGACGGACACACAGGTACAAAACAGCCACAGACTTCCGCAACTGTGGGGAGTACTGGGACAGAAATGGAGATTGGGAAACTGCAATCTTCTAATATTTCTCTCTCCTTCCTTAGCATTTTTGCCAGATCTGATAACTGCAAGAATTTTCCAGTTTCAAAGGAGGTCCTGGTAGGAGACCAGTATCTCAGCAAGCCTGAGGGAAAACTTTCTGGGCTGCTGTAAAGGAGCTCTATATCAGAACCTCTACAGAGAGCAAAGGAATGTACCAGCACATTCCAGGACTCTGCACTGTTAAGGAAGCTCTTGATAGCCTGGAAGCAGAAGACAAGTTTAAATCTACCAGCCTTTCCTCTAGAGTGAAGCTTAAGGTAAGAATAATGCAACCCTGGGCTGTACAGTCCAAAGCTTTATTTTAAAGGGTAACCAGGACCACAAAAAACGTGCAACGTAAGTTGTTGAAGTGTCAAAGCGTGGGCAGAACAACTGCTTGATGATCACTGTCATTCCTCAAAAGGGAGAGGAATAAACTGCAGCAGTCTCAGCCACCCCTTGAGACATCCTTCTGGTTTGATCTGGTTTGGCTTGCAGCACTGCCAGTTTCCCCGGGTAGCTAAGTGGAGACAGCATCACTCTGGGAATCTCTTATCAGCCCGGGAATCTCATATTCCTAAGGTCTTGTACAGGGGAAACACTTGGCCTGAGCAGGATGAAAGAACGAATAACAGAAAAAAACATGTCTAGACCCAGAGTCAAGGTCCAACGTGGCATAACAATACTATGATAATACACATATTTTATGGGGAAAGAGCAGTGCCTTGAGGGGACTAATTCAAAACAGGCAACTTGGATAGAAAAGAGGACACGGGAAAAAAACACATTAAAGTACTTGTGAGAAAATAAAATTAAATATACAGAAACTATAAGAATACAGGACAGAGGGAGTGAATAAAAGTAGTCAAGTGAAGGACTGGTTAGCAAACATATGAAGACCTGAAATATCTGAGCTTATTGGATGAAATAAAATTTATTTGGTTTTGAAATGCCTGCACTGCAAAGCAATCTAGGAACAACATATTACTAAGTGTCCTTAACAGAGTGTATACTGTGACTTCACTAGATCGGTAAGCACAGAATGAAGTGGCCAGTAGCCCATTAATTTCCAAGAAATGATTAATAAAATTGAAGACAAAAACAAAAAGAAAACATGAAAGAAAAAAAAAAGGTAAACTTCTTTCCCAGATCTTGGGATTAGTTTCAGTGTAAAAAGAGAGTACAACTTTATCTGTTAATTTACCACACAGAATGTGAAATGGCTATCCTAATTTTCAGTCCAACAATTATATTCCAATCCAATGGTCAAGTACTCAATAATCAATTCTATCCTGAGGCTTTTTTGTTGTTATTTTACAGAAGAAATGTTCAAGTCTCCTGCTTTGGTTTTCACTCACTTTGACTGCTAAGGAAAATCCCAGATTTTGTTTACAAGCATGATCCAACAAATCTAAAGGATAGTCACAGTCAAATGGAAGGAAAGGGAAAGCAAAAACAAACAAAAGAGAATAAAGTGTTAGCAAAAATCTAAACAAATATCATAAAAAGTATTAGGAAAAAATATTTCTTCCTTTTGGAAAACACTTAACTTTCAAAAAAATCTGTTATACTGGAACAGCAGTTATTGATTCTCCTAGTGCATGTTAGGTGACAAAACCTAGTGCTTGAGGTGACAAGCTTAAATAGGAAAAAAAGCTATAAAGTCTTGATAATGGGCAGCTAAGAAAACACCATAGATGCAAAATTAGGCAGTCTGCATGCCTTGGAGATTCCCATCAGCTCCCTGCTATCTCTTTGAAGAGATGCAAATCCAGTCAGACTTTCCATATGGTAAACTGGGAGCTGAGAAACACTGACAATCTTAAGAACCAGTCTTTCACTGAGGGACACCTGGTAGTGACTCTTCCTTATCCATATTTCAAAAGGCCTGGGAAGGACTGTCACAACCTTTGAACATGTGCTTGAACTAAAGCAGCACTGCTTGCTCAAGCTTACTTTCCTGCAGTTGAATGAGCCAGGCACACTTACAGGGCTTGCTACTCTAAAGCACTGGGAACACATCCCAAACATAGTTTGGATGTCAATACAGTGGTTGCAAGGTCTGTGTCTGTCTGCACATGAATATATGGCAGATACACCTTCAGCCCCTCCCTCCCACACTTCTCCCATCTGCCAAAAAGTACTTCAGCCTCATAACTCTAAATTCAGCATTTTCCTGCTACCTTCCACCTCCTCACCTTTGTAGTCTCACTGAATTTTGGCAGTTTCCTCATATTCATAATATGATCACCCAAATTCCAGAAAATAAGTTAAATGGGTTTGATAAGTTTAATTCCTGTACGTAATAAAAGGCAGGAGTTATGTGCCAAGCTATGTGTTCTGTTAGGTCAAAGTTAACCACAGCACTTTAAAGAAGAGGCACCCCTCAGGGAAAATACTGGTAACCTGCAAGGATGCTCTGAGAACACATAATTTGAATATTTGAAAACTTCATTGTTAGATATTTAATACATATAACATATTACTGTTTCTTTACCTGATACAGTAAAAGGGGGAAAAACTCAGCTCTGCCCTGTTTTAAGTTTACAACAAAATAAGTGCAGCTAAATGCACGTATTTCTGTGTAAGAATTAAGCCAGAGTCCTTCCTTCTTGCACAAGTTAAAGACAGGACCTACAGTAGTTATTCATTAAACTGTCTGACCTTGCTAAATGCAGTTAGGTTAACATCCCATTAATCACCTGTCATTATATCTGCTACCCAGCAGAACAGTTTCCTGAAGAAGATGCCAGAGATAACTTACTGCAACTTTGATTTTCTCTCAGAATCACACTTCCGCAAAGGACAAGCAGAATTATAATAACCTGTGTCTATTGCTTCCATCATGCTGACTGCAAAAATGAACACAGAAAAATGCTTTTGAAATCCATTGAAGAGTAAGAGATTGAGCCTAGAGGCCGTAAACATTCTGTAAACCCACAATAAAGGATATTGTGAGTGAAGCAATAGGACAAATAGAAGCTGATTATTTGTTTGCTACAAAAAATTAACAGATCCCAAAGTTTGACAGAATTACTTCTCCTTACCTGCATTTTTTCAATCATCTCAAACAAGTCTGCAGTCTGTGAAAAGACAACAGAGAAAAATATTTTGACATTTGCAGAAGCTAACATTATCTTCTGTGGTAACCCAGATACTGAAGGAGCCAACAGCTCCCTCCATATTTTGGCGAAGAAACTACTTGCTTGCTGAAGACAGAAAGTGAATGGAATTGTTCTTCCTTAATTGGTAGCATGGGCAAAACAACTGGCCAAATGGTGTTCTGCTTGTGTTGCTAAAGTTTGACCTGAAACCTGGTCAGTCAGGTATCAGGAATGCCTCTCTTTCAATGGGTCAGATTGACTTGAGATAGTATGGCATAAGAACTGGTCAAATTAGCAAGTTTAGGATTCTCACACAAGGAGGCAACTATAGCTGTAAGACATACAAGCACACAAACTTGATTTCAGACAATTCTTCTGCACACATAACTCAAAGCATACACCAACCCTGAGCCAAATATGGACTGCTTTTACCTTGTTGGGGACAGCAGGAGTGAGGACACATGGAAAGCCTTCAGTGGGAGAGTCTATAACATCACTAAAACCCTGCACCGCCTCCTCAGACCTCCTGCAACAGACAGAGGCAGAAAAAAAAAAAAAAAGATAGAAAAAATTAACTCTTAAGAGAATTCAGAGGATGTCAGTGCTTGCCTGCAGTGCCTCCTCTACCCTCTGCATACTACTCCTCTCCCCAGGCCATTTCTTGCCTATAAGGAAGCTGTCATTACCTGTGAGAATCCCTGAGGTGGCTGAACTTACCACTTGCCACTTTCAAACATCCTGGATGTAACAGCAAAAATTTTCTGGCTTCTGACTGCTCTGTCTCTGCTGACATACAATATTTTCCTCACAACTGTCATGGAAGTGCTGAATGATTTTTCTTTGCCAAGTTCCTCTTCCATCATGGATTTGGAGCAGAATTAAGACATGTCTCATAAGAAGTTTTGTAAACAGATCTCAAAACAGAACTGTATTAAACAGGATAAAAGTAGTTCTGAACCACCACTGAAATCAGCACCAAAAGGACAGCCTCAGCTGCCACAGCCTGGGTATTAATCTCAAAGACAGGAGCATAACAGAGATGGCACCAGAACAGAACCGGTAACACCCTGCAGAGATGCAGGCACCGATTTGTGCTACCACTGCTGGTACAGCCAGCATGGAGATTATGTGAGCTTTTGTCTGCACATCTGCTACGGAAAATGTACTATTACTATGGTCCCTGCTGGAGCAGCAGTGGGTACAAACGGTGGCAGGACTTTATTAGATTTCATAGAAGAGAAAACAAAAAGCAACACAAGAACTACACTGTAGTTTAGAAGACATATTAGCCACAGCACTACAGACAGTCTCACTGCCAGCTGCACCTCTCCTGCTGTTACTTTATAAACATTCCACACCTCTCACAGCTTTTACTAGCAGTCACAACTGGGGTTAAGTCTTGGTGAAGGCCACACAGGTGGGGCTGGGAACTAAGCACAGGTTTACAGGAGACAGGACTTACGCACTTTGTAATGAAATCATGAATATGATTGTTAGGGGTCATAGAATCACAGAACGGTTTGGGTTGGAAGTGACCTTAAAGATCACCTAATCCCAACCCCTCTACCAGATGTCACCTACTACATCAGGTTGCTCAGGGCCCCATCCACCCTGGCCTTGAACACTTCTCGGGGTGGGGCATCCATAGCTTCTCTGGGCAACCTGTTCTAGTGCCTTGCTATCCTCTGAATAAAGAATTTCTTCCTAACATGTAATATAAATCTCTTCTCTTTTAGTTTAAAACCATTCCCCATTGTCCTGTTACTACGTGCCCTGTAAAAAGTCACTCTTCCTTTTAAATAAGCCCCTTCTAAGTACTAGATTCTTTTCTCCATGCTGAACAACCCCAACTCTCTCAGCCTATATTTGTAGGAGAGGAGCTCCAGCCCTAGAACATCTTTGTGGCCTCCTCTACACCTACTCCAGCAGGTTCACATCTCTCTTGTGCTGGGGACCCCAGAGCTGGATGCAGTATACCACATGTGGTCTCACAAGAGCAGAGCAGAGAGGGAAAATCACCTCTCTCAACCTGCTGGCCCCTCCTCTTGTGATGCAGTATGTTTGATTTTCTGGGCTGTAAGCACACACTGCAGGCTCATATCCAGCTTTTTCTCTACCAGAACCAAGTCCTTCTCCACAGGGCTGTTCTCAATGAGTTCATCTCCCAGTCTCTGCCCATGTCTGGGATTGCCCCAAACCAAGTGCACTTGGACTTGTTGAACTTCACGAGATTCTCATGGGCCCACCACTCCTCAAGCTTGTCCAGGTCTCTGGATGGTCCCTTCTTCTGTTGTGTCAACCACACCCCTCAGATCTGTTTCATCTGCAAACCTGCTGAGGGTGCACTCAGTCCCACTGCCTGCATCATTGATGAAGATATTAAAGATCACCAGTCCCCAGACAGAGCCCAAGAGACACCACTCATCACTGGCCATACAACCATCGTACAAGGCATACAATAATCCTAAAAGGCAATCAAGAATTGCTGTCCTGTAGCTATTAGATGCACGACTGCTGCTGCTTCCATGCTGAGTGTGGCCATGCAGATCCTTGCTTTGAAAGCAGTGGCTACATTCCCTCTTGTATATTTCTGTAACCTTGAAACTACTCTGTCACAAGCTCCAAGAATCCTAATGCTCACCAGTTCTCTGACAATTCACAATTCATTTTAGTGGCCCAATGGCATAATGTAACTTGCATATAGGCCCATCAACACAAAATCACACAATGCTTCCATCCCACAATTTTCTCCTGAAATTCAAATGAGAGAGATCTGTATAATGCATCTAGAAATTAATGCTGTAACATGTCTGGGCGGGAAGATGTAGGAGTTAGTCTTGACAACCTCAAATAAATATTGAAATAGTTCAATGGCAAATATATTTTAAATTAATATTAATATTAATACTATACTAATACATGCTTTATTTATAATCTTACTCATTTACTTGAAGAATGCTTGGGATGAGCAAAATTTATGTCCAAGGCAGTACATTTTCCCTGTCTCTTAAAAATCTGAAGTTTCTGTTCTGTAAGCCCTAAAAAGGCACGAGTTTAATTTGATAAATTCTCATTTTCAGAAAGAAGTGTAACAATAGAACCTTTTGTGCAACTGGATGTCCTGGGGCCTTGCTGCATGCTAGTGGTTTCTTTGGCATGTCACTGAGGTGAATGCTGAATCATTCAGAGGAGTTAAATACACAACTGCATCACGGAAATCTGGCAGCTCGTGCACGGCCAATACGGCCAGTCCTGCCCCTGTCCTTTGACCATAAATTCATCTCAACACTTTGGACTGACTGGAAAACTTTAGGCAGAAACTGTTCTCTACCACTGAATCCTAGCACAGTTCTATTGCCTAAATGAGTCCAGTAGATGCCAAAATCACCAGCCTTACTGTAGATTCAGAGATGTTCACAATTCTGTAATTATCCCAAATTAGGAATACTCCACGGGCCTTTGAAAACCCAAGAGAATGCAATAGATTTTATATTATCTTTTTTTAAATATCACAAAAATTTGGGGCTATTATAATTATCACTTTAAAGTCCACAGTCAGTTTCTGGAACTTTGAACTTCTGGAATGGAAAGCACTAGACTGTATTGTAAAAAGGGAACATACTTCTTTTCAAATTGGAACTTCAAACTATTTGACCACAGAAAAGAAGAACATCATACTTCTGATAAAGGAAAGCAATTCTGCAGATTGGGAGAGGAATGTTTATGTGCAAATATATACTTGCTGAAGCTTTATTCCTAGAAAATGGCAATAAGGGGAAGCATAGGGCCTAGAAAATGCTGAAGGCTAAGCTGGGATTTTGTTAGTGACAGTAACCAGTACAATAATTTCAAGCAGGCAAACTAAATGTAGGTACTACAAGCAGGCAAACTAAATGTAGGTACTCCTGATTCACTGATAAATTCCAGTCACAATTCTGAAATGGAGCAAGAAGGATCTCTGAAATCTCTAAGCCACTGCAACTGTGTTCATGCCTTATATTCCTGTCTTGCAGCAACCCCTGCTATTTCAGTCATAGGATCTCTCTACCCAGCTTCCAAAATCATTGCTATCTGCTGTAGCTGAGCCAGTTCAATAACCAAGTCAATGCAAGTATTTGCTCTAAGAAAAACACAAATTGGACAGAATTTCATACACACTTCCATAGATATTCCAGAGCAAGTAGGGATTTGTTGCACTCAAAAGGCAAGTGCCACAAATCCTCAGGTAGCTGTTTTCCTAAAAGTTCACAGGGAAGCAGGTGTACAGCTGCTGTAAATAGTTCTGCTCATCTGGAAGTCTTCCAATAGGAGAAACACCACAGCACAATTTCCAGCTATCTGTGGAACAACAGTCAGTATGATAACTGGTGTCCCAGCCTGTAAGAACTTCTTGCAGGGAGACACTAATATGTTTTTTAATTCCCTTAATAGAAGGGACAGGCAATTCAGAACTAAAGGTAATGTGAGACAAGAACAGGCCTGAAATGCTCATAAGGAAAACTCTGGGCAACCACTTCTCTTGAGTAACAGCTTCTGCTGTTTTACTCCCTTATTTCTGCCTTAGAGAGATGCATTTGCTTCACTACATACAATTGTCAGCTATTCAGTGGAGACAGCTGAAAACACCACACACATAGCCTACTCTCAGAACACCTGCGCAGCTTTGAAATTTGCTTACACATGGATTCGGAGAGCTCAAGAGAAGGAATTACTGAAGCAGAACTAGGAAAAGGAAGCTACCACTACAGATGAGAGGTGGTTTGCTCTCAGCTGGTCACAAACTTTCTGCTCACAGACTCTGACTTCCAGTAAGGAACCTCTCTCGCACCCGCGCTCCCCTCTGGCTGCTGGGCAGCTCCCGTGGAGGGCACGGCTCCCACTCGTGGGCAGCCCCGTGCCCAGGACTTCGTGCACCCACAACGAAGTGGGCAGGGGAGCGGAGAACTCTCCCCGCCTGCTCTCCTTGAGGGGCAGGAGAAAGGAGAACTCCAGGGGGAAATTAATCTTGCCATCCAACCCGCACTCCCACCTCCTGAGAAGTCCAAACAGGAGAGGTCCCCCACTCCCAGGACGGCAGCAGAAAGACTGCCGAGCCTCCCTCTTTCCTTCCAGGGAGAGGGGTACCCGCGGCCGCTCCACGGCCCGCCTCCCCCGGCCGGAGCGGGGCCGGGAGGGCCGGAGGGAGGGAGCGAGGGCCGGGCCCACAGCCAGACCCAGACCTGCCGGGCTGGGCACGGCCATTGCCTTCCCCCTCCCCGGTTCTCCGCCCTTCCAGCCAACCCGCGAGGGCTCTTCCTGCTGCTCCAGCACTGCGATTCCAGCGCCGGCAGCCGCTGCCCTGCCCCGTCGCCGGGCTGCCCGGGAAAGGCAGGGCCCAGGCCCCACTGCCGCCGGCACCGGTCCCGGTGCCGGTACCTACCCTCCGCTGGCTCCGGCAGGGAAGCCGTGCTCCCGGGAAAACATGCTGGACTGCTCCGCTGAGTCAGCTCCCGGGTTCCCTCCTCGGGAGCTTGCTCTCCCCCGGCCTCGCCATGAAGAAGGGCACAGGCTCCCTCCAGGCCCCCTGCGAAGCCGCGGCTCCCGCCCCCACCCCTCCTCTTCCTCTCGGGCCGCGATTCACCGGATAGACGGGGGAGAGACCCGCACGGCCGGGACCGGGCCCGGCGGGCAGCGGCCCCGGAGAGCACGGAGGGAAGGAGGAGGAGGAGGGATGGAGACAAGGGGGGATGGGGTGATGGCTTCTGCCCCTCCTCCGCTGTGGCAGAGCGGTTCCCCTGGAGCCCCCCGCTGTGGGAGCCCATGGATGGAGCACAGCGTGCAGGAGCAGCTGCTGGGACAGCCGAGCCGGGGACGCTGCCCTCCGGGTTGTCCGGGAGGGTAACACAAGCACAGCGTTAGACAGGGACAGCAGAGGGGTTTCACTTGGTCAACTCTGCTGTAGAACAAGATCACCTCTTGAGGCTTTCAGTATCCAGTGAGGAAAGTGAGCATCAAAGCAGTTCTCCACAAATTGCCATTCTTTTAAAGGGAAGTCTAGGAAGATGCTGTATCCACTAAATCCAGTTCCGTGTCATTTGGACCTGACATACATCAAGTACCGCAGAGATTTGGCTCTGCACCCCTTATGAAATAGCTCATTGATGCAATGTGTAAACTAGGGAAGCTCAGTTTTTCAGGGGTCACATATGCCTTAACCACATGTATTTCCATTTACTCATAAACAGATTCACTCATCAACAGATTGTCATTCCTGATTAAAAAAAAAAACCAAAAAACTGAGCATGAGAACATGGTCTGCTATAGAAAGAATATGAATATACCTGTGTTTAAATGAGAACACAGAGTTCTTCTGGACACGTATTTTTTTCTGTGCTTCTCACTTTCATTCCACAGGATGATGTCATTTATTCTCTTTACATCAAGACCTATACAAGCAGCAGCTACAACCTTACACCAAATGTCAGCCTCACACTGGGTTTTTTCTAACTAATGAAGAGGACATCAGGAAACACAGAACAAGAGGCAGAATTTGCCAGAGAGCTAGGAAAAGATGTAAAGGAAATGTGCAAACAGTATGCAGACAGACCAGGCAGAAAATATGAGCTAGCAGATAGACATAGGGGGGAAAAAAAGAAAAATGCAGAGAGCAAGGAGTTACATCAAAGTTTTGAGTATTAATGCACCATTTTCATCCTAATGCTTCCTATAAATTCTACTCTTTAAAGACCTGGATAGAAATGATTACTGGGTCTTCAAGGGTCTGTGGGTGGGCAAAGAGACTGTAAGGAGTAAGGAATCAACATAGGTGATGACTTTGAATGGACAAAGAAAGGATCCACTGGCTGGTTTTAGTAACTTGCATGGAGCCAAGGTGACTCAATTTCCTTTTGTCTACGTCTTGCAATTCCCCAGAAGATCTGATGCTGGAGCATGGGCCAATTCATACATCCTCACTCCAACTCAAATGCCTCCTAAATGGACCCAGGGCACTGAATAGAGCAGCTGCTCTCTGCACAAGCAGGTCTTACTCATTCACCTGAATCTCTGAGTAGAGATGTGACTGGACCAAGGCAAAGAGCCAAGCTTGCCATTTCTGCTGCATCTAGGAAGGAGGAAGAGACATTATTTTTTGCTGTTAGAGAGGGCTGCCAGCAGTAACTACTGCCCTCCCCCATCCCAGGGTCATTATCAGCAGCGCTATCAAGCCGGGCCATGGTGAAAGCAAAGCATACAGAGAGGCTCAGGTCTTTCTGCCATTCTTGTTCTTCGGCAGCTTGCCACTACAGACAAGAGCCAACTTTGTTCACATACAAAACCACACTGAACTCAGCTTTCATTTAGTGGCCTCACAGCTTTACCTAACCTTCAGTGTAACTCAAGTTGTGTACAAAGCCCTCAACATCATAAGCAAAACAGCAAACAATTACTAAATATCCTAATTATGTTCTAATTAACTTCCTTTAGCAATAGCAATATGAATAAATCACATGTAAGCAAATCACAGGACCGCTTCCTGTTCCTCAACCTACAATCAAGCTAGCGATTGTTACTGTTTACCCTGCTGATGCAAAAATATTCCCTATTATAAGCCTTCTGTTGTAGTAAGTAGATTCAGCTCCTATTAATACTTGTGTTCTTATATGACTAATGCATTGTACTTACGGTCTCAGATTTTAATCCCTATATGTGTCCATACTTGCATGGATCATTATGCATTTTATAGTTATGGCGTGGTTTAGGGACTGGCATAAAAGTTTTTGTTCTTTCAGGTATCCTTGTAGGCACATTAATAGATGTATTACAGTAATTGGTGTCTGTACCTTTTGCTATGTATTTTCCCAGTTTTTGTTAGCAGATTTTTTCAATGTGTTTCATTTTATTAGCATTTGATCTTGCTCACGTAGGAGAAGTCTGTATTAGCTGTAACACAGAAACTGGTCCCTGCAATTCTGTTAATTGAGTCATTGTAAGAACATCAGCAGCTCCACGGAAGCTGCGCAGTACCACATAAACACAGCAGTATATCCTTCAAGGGTAAATTCTGCAGGGCAAAACCTGTATGTTTTTAAGTTTTACTTCAATATTACGTAAACTCATAGCTGCATCCACAGACTGAAACATACATGTTCTCACATCAGCTGTTTCCACAGATCTATGCACACAGCTTCTAAATATAGCACCGGGTGTGCACAGACAGCACCTCCCGCAGTGCACTTGGACTCCTCATTTTATGTCCAGGACTGACATAATCAGGGTGGGATCCATTTGAGTCTGGGCAGACCCTCTCTCATGCCCCTCCATCCCTTCAGTTTGTTTCATTTCCTACACAGACATCCACTCCCCCCACCTCCACTCTCCCTTTCTCTCTCTGCAACTGCTTCTCTACACAATGCAGAATAGCACAATGTCTTTTAAAAAGCACACATGCTTTCCCTGATGAGGCTGAAGCTGCCCCAAACTCTATCCATTACACAACGCCACACAAGCAGCAGAGAAGATCTGGATCCAACCCTCCCCCACCTATCTTTGCTCCCATTCCTTCTAGATGCAAAATATTTTTAATTGGCATTGCAAGCAAGACGAGAATAAAAGCAGCTAAGCTGTTCATCCCCTACCTGAGCAAGGATCTCTCATCCCCAGCTGGTGAGCAGATGGAGACAGGGAACCCAGCTGCTCTCCCTTCCTTGCACTATCAATTATTCACGTAGGTTGCAGTGTCCTCCCTCTCCCTCCCTCCCTTTCTCTTCCGCTGCCCCCACCTGCAGCTGAATGGAGATCGAGCAGGTCGGTGCTGTCACACTTGAAACTAGAGATCATTGTCGATTGAACAGCCAGCCTGTGGAGCAGCTGTGCTCTTAAGCAGAGAAGATTTGCCCTGGCAGAAGGGGACAGACTGGCAGCTCCAGAGGTGGAAGACAGGCAGCTCTGTACATCCACATCCTGCTCCCTGCGCTTCTAATCTCAGACCTGCAGGGATGACCTTTAAAAATGAAAGAGGGCTTTTTGGTTTTGTTTTGTTGGGGTTTTTTTAACTACAGAAAAGAACATTTTCTAGTCCTTTCAAGTATAATGACAGTTGTTTGGTGACAGTGAACTAGGTCATGCAAATTCATGTGTATAGATCAGAGTAGGAAGGGAAAGTAGAAGACTGGAAAAATCTGAAACATGATTACGTAGTACTGATTCAGTCCCATAGCAAAGGCACGGGGAGAGGATAATTTAAGGGGACAGGATGACATTGTACTTTCTGTACAATGTCATCCTGTAAATGCTTTTGGTAATCATGAGTCATGAGACTGACCTCTGGGTTGGAATGATTCTTCAGTCACAATTTTTGTAGATAATTAAAGGATTCTTATGTGGTAGCAGTCTTAGGCAAAGGTAAAATGAATTCTGGCAGACCTGGGTCAAGGCATTTAAAGCATTTTGCCTTTGTAGAGGGCTACTACCCACAACGGGGTGAGTGTTCTAGATCTGCCTCACAGCAAAATTAGGTTGAAATCCCAGGACAAATTAACTGTCCCATTTTGCACTGGAGTAATTCACCCTGAATCATCCCAATCCCACCAGTTTGCTGGGGACCCTCCTGCTGTGTCATCTGAAACATCACAGTAATTTGTTCTGTTAATTCTTCCCATGACCATAGCTGTGCCAGGGTCACCACAGAGACAAATAAAAACCCCACCGTATTAGAGTGCTCAAACAGTAGATCATCATGACTTTTCTGCCCTATTTAACTTTTCCCATCTTTTGAAAAATATGTCTGCAGGAATTTTACCAGAAGTAGTGAAGAGTTTCCTGAAATTACATTAAAAATAAAATGCCTAATAGAAAACATTGGTATTGCAACTACAGTTATGAGTAAAACTCCTGAAAATCAGCAACTCTTTTAAGAGAGTACTCTGATTGTTTTCAATTATCTTCTTGTTTTCAAAACTTTACAGATCAAGCTTTGTCAAGCATTTCTCCACAATTCTGAAGGCTGGAAAAGTTTTAATTTAAATTAAGAAAGAGTCATCACCTTTTTGTTTTCATGTGAGCATTGGAACCACCAAGTTCTATGGATGAAATAACAACAAATTTTCCAAAGATTTCTTTTGTGCAGTTGCTCCAGGTCCAAGAACTGTAGTTGAGTCTGCTGGAGCATTTACAAGACCCTTCTCTTGTGCTGGATCTTTGATGAGGTTCACGTTGAAACCTTTCCCTCTTTTGGATCTTTTTTCCTGGTTGGCCGTTTTAATTAAATTTAAAGGAGCCTTTTCTCTGAGACAACAGAAAAAAAGGCTCTTTGAGATAATTATCAAAGTGATAATTATCAAGTTATCAGAACATAATTTTAAGAAAATCATCAAATCAACAAATTATCTTTGAGACCTTGATACCCTAATTTTGGTAGAAGAGAGCTGTTCCAGAGGTTACAAAGGAATAATGGTATATAGGCACAGACTGTCTAAAGTAAGTTTTATTTCTAGAAAAGCAGACTAAGAACAAGACATGGTAAAACTCAATCACAGTAAGAAAATCAGCATTATAAATATTAGAAAACAGTCGGTTTTGGCTTTTCAGTTAGCAGCAAATATCAATACCTGTGCCTCTACCTACAGATATAGAAGCATAGATTTATGCA